ACCTGAGATGACATGATGTGAATTGGAGCTATAGAAATAAACGGAATAGAACTGAATTGGTCCATCATCCCCACAGTAAATCACGGTAGAGTCTCACTGCTGTGTTTATTCAGAGCTTCTCTGTGTTGATCTATAAACAGGATCTACGGTGGTGGAGGGAAACAATAGAACAGCTCGAGGGGTGTGAATACTTTTCCAGGGCGCTGTGTTCTGAGCAGCGAGGGGAACCGGAGCAGCGTCCCCTACTGACCTCCATCTTTGAACCTGAGATCAGAGAAAGTTTTAGCGCCCCCCAGTGGAGAGTGAGAAGCAGCCTGTGTCACGCTTATTTACACCATCCTGGGTCTGTTCAGTCTCCAGGCACCGCGCCCCGTGGAAAGGTCGTCCCGCGGGTCTGGGCTCCAGCTCCTTATTAGGAGATGAAAGCGTTCACTCCCCCATTTTTCTTTTTTCAAAGGGTTTCAGCTTTTAAAGCTTTTATTTTAAAATATCACATTAGGATCTTTGGAATAATTTAGAGGTTTTCTAAAGGATTCTTCTGGTAGAAGTTACTACCTGCTGACAGGAAGCAGCCGGTTCGGCTCCGCCTCAACGTTTCCACTGGACTTTTAGAACATAGATGTTCAGTTGTAGATATTCCACACTTGATGGGATTTCATTTTTCCTGTGTGGCCCAGACCATCATGCCCAGGGGGGCCGCCAGGAATCAGCCTAAACAAACGGCTTCATTAATGAGGCCATTCCCCTCCGACTCTGAGGAGGATTAACTCTGTTTATCCAGCAGATCTTATTTTAATCAACATATTAATAATCTGTCGTTAATCTGAACTATTCAGGTAAAAACTTCTGAAATAATGTCTCCTGCTATCAGACGCTTTCTCTCCTCTTTCTCTTCCTTTTTCAAACCCAGACTTTTGGACGTTGCATTTTTCAGCCACGGACGTTTTTCCCGCCCTGCTGCTGTTTTACACTTTTTCTAGTTGATTTGTTTCTTTCTTTCTCACTACGTTAAATGACGGCGAATGGCGAATGGCCCCAGAGCAAGCGACCTGCCGGCGACAGACGGGGAAACTTGATGCGATGCAGGAGCTGAGGACTAAACCATTTCAGGGAGGCGGGGGTCAATATATCCCTGCTTTGTTTCACTGTTTACTGCTGAACAATGAGGACATGAGGACATGGTGACGGAGACGACTGATCCAGATCATTCAGTCAGATTAATAAAAAGTTTATTTCTGTTTAAGTAAACCAGCTGATCCCATCCAGTCACTGACTCTGCAGGATTGGCTCCTCCTGAATGAGGCGGCAGCAGAGGAGCCACCGGGTCACCTCCATGACCTCCTGCTGAACCTGGAGAGTCCCATCTGCACCGATTACTCTGCAGATTCAGGGGGAGGAGCCTAACCCATAGAGATGACCTCATAGCTCCACACCTTCCTCCTCTGAGCAACAGTTCATCTGATTATTGATCAGAGAGTCCAGCTGTGAAATGCTTAATGTGGGCGGTTACCTCTCCTCTGGGCGCCATGATGTCGTTACTGTCTGAACATTAAACACAAAGCAGCCCAATCCTTTGCTAACGCTCTGTTTGGCCATGCAGGAAACCATGACCTCTGTGGGGTGGAGCTGCGCATCGAAGAGCTGCGGCATCACTACAGGGTGGAACACGCCGTCGCCGAGGGCGCCAAGAACGTCCTCCGGCTCCTCGGGGCTAACAAGGTTCAGGACAAGAAGGCTCTGTCTGAGGTGAGAGCTGCTGATCCTCCAATCGGCTTTAAAGGAAAAGTCCGGTCAGCGACGAA